TGGATAGTTCCGTTATAAATTTGATATCCAAGCACGTTAATAGAACGGTGAAAACTCTGATTTTCCCGGTTTATTTCGAGGTTGTATGTCGAGGCAGCCTTTAAGAAACATTCCAAATTGACATCGTGCTCCTCCTGGGTTTTACCACAAACAGTTATATCATCTATATAACGAAAAGGTTCCAGATAATTTGTTATCAGAAATGAAAGAATTCATAAATCGCTGAAAGGCAGAAAACCCGTTAGTAACACCCATGGGTATTCGTTTAAATTGGTACAGACGGTTTCCAGCTTGAAAGGCCGTAGAGGGGCGATCTTCAGGGCAAATTTCAATCTGATAGTATGCTTTGGACAAGTCAATTATACTATAGATACGATACTGGGCTATTTGGTTTCTGAGATCTTCAATTCGAGGCAAGGGGTAGGCATCAAGTAAGGTGAACCGATTAATAGTCTGGGAGAAATCGACTACCAATCATTTCTTTTTATTAGGTGACGGTTTAACGACAATTTGAGCACGCCACGGAGAGTAACTTGTTTCAATTATATCATCCTTAAGCAGTTGTAGAATTTCTTTTTCAATGAACCGACCATCCTCCGCACGGTAATTTCGGGATTTAGTAGCAATAGGTTTGCAATCAGGGGTCAAGTTTCGAACAACTTAACAGGAGCACAACTGATCTTGGTTAGAGCGCAGATTTTAGAATATCCTGAGATCCAACAAAAGAAATGGTGATACTCTGGTGTAGTTTTAAGAAGGGCACTCGAGTATAATATCCATACAGGAATCAGGAAGTACTGTAAAGTCAATTTGTTTATATTCGTAACCATTGAAGATAATGTCCTCAGTACAATATTCAGATAGTTTGAAGGAAATGGCAGATGAAGCCATGGAAATTACGGAATTCCGTTTAGAAGTAGACAGTTTCATTGTTTTAACAATACGGGCACTGATAAAGTTATCAGAACTACCGGTGTCTATGAGGACAGTTAATCTCTTTCCTTTTAATTCTAAAGTTTTAGTAACTGGAGGAGACCTATCATCGTCTTTAGCACGGGCTACTATAATAGATGAAGTAGAACGTGAAGGTGCCGACATGGTAGAACGGCAAACTTTAGAAAAATGACCAAGTTTGCCACAGTTTCGACATATCTTATCACGGGCAGGACAATAGTGACGATTATCCTTAAAGTGACGTTTTCCTCCACAGTTGTAGCACTTGCCACGAGCAAAGGCAGCAGACAATTGTACAGAGTCACTCCGCACGAGAATCAGTTAAGTCTGAAAGCATATTTTTAGTAGTAGTAGTGGAAGTGGCCTCTCGGCAGAATCAGTAACCACATTTTTTAGTCCTAGTGGTAGTAGCAGCAGTTGATCCAATCTGAGAAGTGTATGACTCAGCACGAAAGTGAGCCTGTTTTAAGGCTCTAGCACATTGAGTAGCCTCCTTGAGAGTTAGCGATCATTTTCAAGCAGTCTGGCACGACACGAGGGACCGGAGACCACGATAAATGCATCACGGACAGATTCATCCCTGTAGTAGTAGCAGTAACATCTTGGAAGCAACAGTCAGCAGCAAGTCGATTCAAGGCCTGAAGGTATTGGTCTACAGACTCGTTTTCCTGCTGCAGACGTGTAGACAACAAATGTCTAGCGTGAATAATACTTGGAGACTTGTCATAAACACTTCTCAGCAATTCAACAGCATGTTCAAATCCAGAACAACCCTCGATAACATCAGCAACGGTAGCACCGATATTTAAATAAAGGACTTCGTGTTTGTCAGGGTTTAACGAAGCAATAGTTGATAAGTAATAATTAAAATTACGGTACCATAGTCTCCAGAGCTTGCTAGCCTGAGGGTCTGCAGAAGATATATCAAACGAATAATCTTGTCCATGAGGAAGTAAGTTCAGTAAATTGTTACGTTGCTCAGAGAAGAAAGCTAGTAACCTTTCACTAAGGCTTTGCTGAACTTAATTCACAGCAGCAATCAACAAAGGAAGAAGAACGCAGCTTTTAAAGAGGAATGGGGACGTGTGAAAAAGTCACGTGGACAGTAAAGATAGTTTCTATTTGACGTGGACAGTAAAGATAGTTTCCTATTTTCTTTTCTTTTATTTTCTTTACGAAAATATAACAAGGATGCACTTAGAAACAAACCAATATTTAAGGCAAAAGACCTCACACTCACTACTAATGCTAGTGAATGTACCATAGCAGTAAACTTATCACAAGAGGGACATCCTATTATATATTTGCCCAGAAAGTTGATAGCAGGAGAGACAAATTATTGTAACATTGAAAAAGACATGCTGACAATTGCCTAGAGTACTGAAAGGGCATGCAATTTGTTGTTGGGTGAGAAATTTTTGCTAAAGTTAGACCACAAGACATTCATTTTCAACCCAAGGAAAGAGTTGCCCAAAGTCATGTCATCCAGAATTTTGAGGTGGGCAATTAAGATTATGGCATTCAATTTTGACATTATGTATAGTAAAGGAAATACTATCATTCTACACATATACACATGTCAAGACTGAATTTTAATAACCAATGTGTTGAAACAAAGAACAGTTGTGAGGACAGAATTTTTCACTGGGTAGAGACAGTTGTGTTATCCTTCAGGTGGCTCAAATTTGAAACCGAGCAAGAACCTGTATTCAAAAAAGTACTGAATATGGAATAATATATGGAGCAATTGCTCTATGGCATAAAGACCTTTTAAGGAATCAAGGCACAGATTAACAATTGAAAGAGGAGTCATATTTAGTGGAGATCTTATTGTACCACTGAAATCATTAAGAAAAGATGTTATTAAAGCAATACATGACAACATATATGAAACTACAAGCCTGGTGACTGGGGGTATATGTGAGACATTGAAGATTATGTCAGAAAATGCCCTAAGTGTACAAAGATAAAGAGCTTTATGCAAACCAATATTCGCTCATGGCTCAAAGAAAAGGAGCCATAGATCAGAGTACACAAGGATCATGCATACATTAAAGATATAGGCCTATTCCTCATACTCATATTCAAGTTGGCCTGAAGTGGTTAAAATTTCAGATGGAAATGCAAGTAATGTAAAACAGGTTTAGAGAGTCATATTTTCAAGGAATGGAGTACCTAAGACATTGGTATTGGATAATGCACCAGAGTTTACTGGAGATTGCTTGTGTACATGGTTAACATGAATTGGATGTAGGCCATACAAAACACCTCCATACCATCCTCAGTCAAATGGAATTGCAGAGAGGATGGTCTAGACAATAAAAGTTGGACTAAAAGCATTCTCTCCAGGGAATTGCAGCCTAGAAAGTTATTTACCAAGTTTGCTTCTAAGTTACAGGACCATCTCACATGAAGGCAGAATGCAAAGCCCCTAGGCATTGATGGGAAGGAAAAATTAGAGCCACAATAACCATGTCATTCTCAAAAAATGAGAATGTATGGAACAAAAGGAACAAGGATTTGAATCGTGAGAAAGCACAATTTGTTATGCAAAAAAAGATTTAATATAGCAATATTGACAAAAAATGGACAGGGTTTGTTAGCTCATCAAGACCAGTTTAGATTGCAAAGAGAAATGGAAGATATTGCAATGGAGGAAGAGCCTGGTGCAGAAGAGAGGAATCAAGATTATCACCAAGAATTGGAGAGTGAAGGAAAAGAGAGAATATCAAGTGATAATGAAGAACATGAGGAATCCAGTAAAGATAAAGTGGAATCTAGGCAATCACCATGAGACAAGTGGTACACCTCCCAGAGTCGTTTATAGAAGTAGCAGATCTACCAAGGGTATAAAGTCTCTAAGGTTCTGAGAGATGTGATGATATACAAATTAGATGTTATATAAGTTGGAAGAGTTCTACACTCATGAGTGGAGTTATCTTTCCTTGACTGTGTACTCATGAGAACTATACATGACACAACAGTTTGCTTCATCTATTACTCCTGGTTTTAGCTTATACAATTTTCAAATGTTTTATTCTCGGGTTTTCAAGCCCTTGTTGAACCTGATGTATTCTGTTCAATATGGAACAGGTTTTGGCAGTTTCTACATTATGAAACAGCAATGATAGAGCAAAAATAACTAATGAAACAAAAAACAATCAAGTTACCAATCAATGGTTACTTTGCAGGTTATAACAGGAGTTAGTTAAAAGTATTTGTGCCCAAAGAAACTATATAAAAAAACAATAGTTAAAATTTGCCAAGCAAAGATTATTCTTTATATTGTAACAGCATATGTCTTGGCTCCACACTGCTGGCTTCTTAAAGATGGGTTAGCTCAGGTGCAAAGTTCAAGAAAATAAGATAAAAAATATACATGTATATTTACACTGCATTAGAAATATTATATTTGTATTTAGCTGCCAATGATATTGCTATGAAGAACTATCATAGAGAAAAAAAATTAACTTTGTGATAAAATTTTTAATGAGAAAATTTTGTCAGTTTCACATTATATTTAAAAAAAAATGTTAAAATGCTGCAAGTTCAGTTCAAATAAAATAAATGAACCTTTTATTTGCTTTAGTGCCTTAAATAATAAACTTAATCCAAGGTTAAAAAAATATTCATTTTTAAAAATGCTGAATTGTAATTTAGGTCTCTACATTTCCACTCCCATTCATGGATTCCAGTTACATGGCTACCAAGCTTTTTATATGTATCCTATGCATATTTCTATCCTAATCCCAAGACTTGTTGAGGAAGAAAAACAAAAAGATCAGATATTGAATTTCCTAAAACTGACAAATCTAATAAACAAATAAATTTTATCAATACCATAAAAAAAATAGCAAAAAAATGGTAAGTAGAATAAGAGAAAATGGTAAATGAAAGAAATTAGTTAGTGAATTAGAATTTATTTGATGTAGAAAATTGTTCATATAACATTGCAATTGCTAGAAAATTTATTTTATTTATAATTACATCAAAAATATTTTTGCTTAGATAACTTTTAAAAAAAAAATTTTTTATTATATTTTCAGGTCGGTTTGGAAGTGGAATTGCTTCATACTTTAGATTTCTGCGTTGGCTTTTCTACCTTGATTTGGTACTAACAGTCATTGTGCTTTCAGTGACAACCCTGCCATATGCCATACTGGACAATTACCTGAATTTTGATAACTATATACAGGTGGTCCAGAAGGATTGGAAAATCAATAATTCCTTTGTGGCTGAAGCTCAGAATTGCTCACTCTGGTATCAGAAATATTTGCAAATGGAAATGACAAAAAAAGGTCCTGCAGATCATGTTAAAGACGTTTTGCAAGGAACAGTGAGTGTTCTTGTCTTTTATGTTTATGAAATATCATGAAAATATTTATATGCTTTGCAATACAGGTACCTTAGGTAGATGTCTTGACTGAATAAACCTTCATTGTAATTAATACTGGATTAAATTGTATTCTTGTATTGTGCAGCTAGACTGTTTTTTATATTAAAACTGCTACCATCAGTTTTGTAAATACAAGTTTTTCTTCATATTTGATAGCTCCTTATATTATTTTTTATTCCCCCCTTTTTTTTTTTTTTGTAGTAGTAAACTGAAAAGCATATCCAAGAAATACAATTTTGGGGGATCAACTTAATGAGAATCTAAAAGAAATAGTAGTGATGTAGAATGAAGATTCAGCAGTAATTGTTCAGTAAGAAAACACTGACATTAGAGAAAGCCCTCGAAACATCTGTACCAACTGAGAGAATGTAGCAAAAGAGAAAATCACCTACCTCGAAAAAGAGTTTGTGTTTTGTGCGCAGCCATTCGAAGAAAAATTAAAGAAAATAGTTAGCAAAAACCTGCTGCTTTAAGTCTCAGAGAAACTATGCTAATGTTCTTGCCTCCCTGAATAGCATGGCCAATCAGAAAAATTGCACAGTGAATAAAGGCTGTTGTTTTTTGCTTGCCTGCAAGAACAATTTTTGAACTTGGTGGGCAAAAGTGTGTTTCTGCTGTTGCAAAGTGGAGGTTGGATTTCTGACCCTCGTTTTTCATTGCTATATTGCCTGCTGGACTGTTATGACAGATTTTCGATTGAACTTTGTGTTGGCACATACATTCCTTTTTTGGTCCTTTTTTTGATACACAAAAAAATGTGTTGAATTGGCTACAAGTATTGCAGATGAGAAAGAAGAAACTGATTGCAGGTATTAATTGCTCCATTAAGTTTAAAGTTGTTTTTTTTTAGCTACAGAGAACCAGGAAGTTTGCCAAGGATATTCAGTGTAAGTATTGTCAGGAAATGAGACACCAATGATAGATTGGCAAATAAATGTTAATACTACTACTGCTAAATATCCTTTGAAATACCTGGTTATGAGCAAGGGAATATACCAGAAATTGCTTTCTCAAATACCAACAGCATTTTTTTTTTGTTTTTTTGGGGTTTTTTTTACCCATTTTGACCCTTCAAAAATTATTTTGGTGCATGTTGCTATTTATTCCCTGTGTTACTTTCACATATATTTTGCTGGTGCTGAGAAAATTATACTCATGAACCACTCCTGGAGCAATTTACTAAGAAAAATCCCATTCACCTTCTTGTTGCTGGCAGTGTACAATATTGGGCATTTTTGATAGCTGCCTGAAATTACAAATTAAAATGGTGTGCTGGGCCCTCCAGCAGCAATACTTATTGTTTTAGCTGTTGTAGTGAAAGAGATAATCAGGTACCCCGAAAAAAAGTTTGTGTGCGATCTGCCGAAGAAAAATTACCAAAAAGTAGTCAGCAAAAATCTACATCAATGACTAGAAGCTATGCTAATATTCTTCCCTCCCCTGGATGGTGTGACCAATCAGAAAATTCTCACAGTGGACAGAAGTCGTTGTTTTTCACTTATAAAAGATGATTTTCTTTGAGTGGTGAGACGAACACGCGTTGTTGTTGGCGAGAAGTGAAGGTTGGATTTGTGACCCCATTTTGTTGTCTCTATGGTGTGTGTTGGACTGTTACGTCGGACTATCATGTGAACTGCGATTTGGCTACAAGTGTTGCAGCCGAGAAACAAGAAATCTATTGCTGTTGCTACAATCAGTTGACAGTCTTTTCTTTACCACAACAGTTGTGTTCTGGCAAAAATCAAAAACAAGGATTTTTTTTCAGCAAATACTGTTCATACAATGGATTGAATGAATTCTCCACTGACTGTAGCTGCTATTCAAAAACTAGAAACAATCCAGTTAGAAATATAACATACACAGTGTCTGTAAATGACAGGGATAATAGGGTTGTGATTGCAAAATTTAAGCCATAATTTACCAAATGTTGCTTGAGCCTAATCAGATTTGTCAGAAGAATATGAAAGCTCTTACTTAATGTAATATGATATCTAAATGTATATAGATCATGAAATGATATGCAAGCCTTATTTAGTATGCATTTAGAGCCAGAACAGTTCTAATAAATCATGGTTGGGAATATCCAAATGAACCATGGAAAAGAGAAAAGAGAACTTGTGGATTTTCCTGGTCCATTCACAGGACATATTCTTCATTGCTGTTGACACATAATCAGATTGTCTTTTTAATCATTTCACCCCAAGCAAGACAATAAAAGTCAATAAGATACAAGGCCTTGCTGAATGTGAAAGAATAAGAGGAAAATAAAAATATAATTAAAGAAAGAGAATCATTAAAAGAATAAGAATTAAGAAAATTCCTGTTCTTTTATGATTCTCTTTTCTTAATTTTGTGTCCTGGGTACAAGGCAGCAAGGCCGCTTTTTGGGAGGTTTTGAGAAGTGTGGAATGACCTCTTAATTGCTGTTATTTCTGGGTCCACCCTGACCCAGTGTGGTAGCACCCATTAGGCTCCCAGCTATGCGTAAATAGATTTCCCCCTCCCTTGAACTGGAGAATGATTACTGGGAAAGTATAAGAATGGGTTTTTTGTAACAATTATAATGCCAGCAATACCAATTGCAGTATTAAAAAACAATATTCATAAAAAAATGATGTACAAAAACTAAAATTCCACTCAATGGGGCCACCTGTTTGCCATAGGTGGCAACACGTGATGCATGGGGATGGAGTCCTGGTGACTGAGTGATTCCTGATCAGATATAAGATTGTTATATTTTCGTAAAGAAAATAAAAGAAAAGAAAATGGGAAACTATCTTTACTGTCCACGTCAAATAGGAAACGATCTTTACTGTCCACGTGACTTTCTCACACGTCCCCATTCCTCTTTAAAAGCTGCGTTCTTCTTCCTTTGTTGATTGCTGCTGTGAATTAAGTTCAGTAAAGCCTTAGTGAAAGGTTACTAGCTTTCTTCTCTGAGCAACATAACAATTTACTGAACTTACTTCCTCATGGACAAGATTATTCGTCTGGACAAGTTTGATATATCTTCTGCAGACCCTCAGGCTAGCAAGCTCTGGAGACTATGGTACCGTAATTTTAATTATTACTTATCAACTATTGCTTCTTTAAACCCAGACAAACTCAAAGTCCTTTATTTAAATATTGGTGCTACCGTTGCTGATGTTATCGAGGGTTGTTCTGGATTTGAACATGCTGTTGAATTGCTGAGAAGTGTTTATGACAAGTCTCCAAGTATTATTCACGCTAGACATTTGTTGTCTACACGTCTGCAGCAGGAAAATGAGTCTGTAGACCAATACCTTCAGGCCTTGAATCGACTTGCTGCTGACTGTTGCTTCCAAGATGTTACTGCTACTACTTACAGGGATGAATCTGTCCGTGATGCATTTATACGTGGTCTCCGGTCCCTCGTTTTACGTGCCAGACTGCTTGAAAATGATACGCTAACTCTCAAGGAGGCTACTCAATGTGCTAGAGCCTTAGAACAGGCTCACTTTCGTGCTGAGTCATACACTTCTCAGATTGGATCAACTGCTGCTAATACCACTAGGACTAAAAATGTGGTTACTGATTCTGCCGAGGAGGCCACTTCCACTACCATTACTAAAAATATGCTTTCAGACTTAACTGATTCTTGTACGGAGTGTGACTCTGTACAATTGTCTGCTGCCTTTGCTCGTGGCAAGTGCTACAACTGTGGAGGAAAACGTCACTTTAAGGATAATCGTCGCTATTGTCCTGCCCGTGATAAGATATGTCGAAACTGTGGCAAACTTGGTCATTTTTCTAAAGTTTGCCGTTCTACCATGTCGGCACCTTCACGTTCTACTTCAGCTATTATAGTAGCCTGTGCTAAAGACGATGATAGGTCTCCTCCAGTTACTAAAACTTTAGAATTAAAAGGAAAGAGATTAACTGTCCTCATAGACACCGGTAGTTCTGATAACTTTATCAGTACCCGTATTGTTAAAACAATGAAACTGTCTACTTCTAAACGGAATTCCGTAATTTCCATGGCTTCATCTGCCATTTCCTTCAAACTATCTGAATATTGTACTTAGGACATTATCTTCAATGGTTACGAATATAAACAAATTGACTTTACAGTACTTCCTGATTCCTGTATGGATATTATACTCGGAGTGCCCTTCTTAAAACTACACCAGAGTATCACTATTTCTTTTGTTGGATCTCAGGATATTCTAAAAATCTGCGCTCTAACCAAGATCAGTTGTGCTTCTGTTAAGTTGTTCTGAAACTTGACCCCTGATTGCAAACCTATTGCTACTAAATCCCGAAATTACCGTGCGGAGGATGGTCGGCTCATTGAAAAAGAAATTCTACAACTGCTTAAGGATGATATAATTGAAACAAGTTACTCTCCGTGGCATGCTCAAATTGTAACTTCGTCACCTAATAAAAAGAAACGATTGGTAGTCGATTTTTCCCAGACTATTAATCGGTTCACCTTACTTGATGCCTACCCCTTGCCTCGAATTGAAGATCTCGTAAACCAAATAGCCCAGTATCGTATCTATAGTATAATTGACTTGTCCAAAGCGCATACTATCAGATTGAAATTTGCCCTGAAGATCGTCCTATAACGGCCTTTCAAGCTGGAAACCGGCTGTACCAATTTAAACGAATACCCATGGGTGTTACTAACGGGTTTCTGCCTTTCAGCGATTTATGAATTCTTTCATTTCTGATAACAAATTATCTGGAACCTTTTCGTATATAGATGATATAACTGTTTGTGGTAAAACCCAGGAGGAGCACGATGTCAATTTGGAATGTTTCTTAAAGGCTGCCTCGACATACAACCTCGAAATAAACTGGGAAAAATCAGAGTTTTCACTTCGTTCTATTAACGTGCTTGGATATCAAATTTGTAACGGAACTATCCAACCCGATCCTGAGTGTTTGAAGCCACTTTTACAAATGCCTCCTCCTCC